GTCTACAGTGAGCTAGCTGCATGTCCATGCTTCTGGTTAGTTGCTAGACCATTCCATCCAGAACATCAGCACCTCCAATCTACGTGTCCAACCCAATCTTAATTCAACTTCCTTTCCCTAAATCCACTTCATTAAAATTCACAATCCCAGGTACAAAGATCACAATCCCTCAATTTCTCAGGTAAGGGAGCTTAAAATCACACTGGCATTCTCTGACAAGTCATCAAATCCGGGCAAATCTCATTCATTTAAGAAGCATTGATTGTATGCCTCTTATATTTCAGGCACCAGACAAAGAACTGGGCATATGAGATAAGATCCCTGCCTTTTTTTTTTTTTTTTTTTTTTTTTTTTGCCATTTTATAACTTTATTTGACAATCAGTAGTTAGTTTTCATCCACATGAACTGTTTGTAGATTTTGAAAGCGTGACAGGGACGTAGGTGACCAACATTTTCAGCTTGTTTGGAGAATCTTCCTCCTCATTACAGTTTTTGGATAACCGCACCAGGATACTGTTCCTTTGGCCCAGACAGCTGTGTTGAGCCCGGATGTCTGCAGGTCCCATCTCCTTCAGGGAAAATGTCCACATCTCTCTGCATGCCCGAGGGGCACGCTTCTTGAAACCCACTCCCTGGATGCGCTTGTGGGTGTTGACAGTGTAGTCTCTGGTCACTACCTCGTTGATCGCAGAACAGCCTTTCTTCTACTCGCCACCCTGCTTTGAAGGAGCCACTCTGCCCGGCCATGTTGGGAAGGAAGAATGCCAGGTATTGTAGGAGAGGGAAAGCCCAGCCTTGCCTCTTAAAGCTTCCATGCTGGTGGGGCCGTGAGGCCCACAGACACAGGAGAAACCAAGGAGCCAAGTTTAAAGAAAGCTGTAATTGATGCAAAAGACATCAGCAAAGGGTGACTTGCTTCAGAAGGAAAGGGATGCATTTTATCTGCAGGAGGACCTGACAGGTGGCTGGCGAGCCTGAGCACAGCACACCGAGAGGAGGATGGAGGAAGATGACGACCTTGGAGAGGTTTGCAGGGCCCGGGCCATGGACAGCAGTGAAGTAAGAGGATCGGAATTTGTGCAAAGACTTGGGGAAGCTGGTGAAAAGACTTCAGTGGTGGAGTCATGTGATCTGAATGGTGCATCCCATGGCTCTGGCTCCTTTGGGAAGAGAGATTGGAGGTAGACGGAGGCTATGAGGCTGCTATGGGCTTCCAGGTAAGAGATGAGGAAGGTCTAGACCTGCAGGTGGCAGTGCCGGAGCAGAGAAGCTCTGCCTCTTTGCCATCCTCAGTTTACTGGATTAGGCTAAACCCTCTGTGGACTGCATTTTGACTTTCATTAGCCCCTCCGGCATGCCTCTGGGGTGATATGCTCCTAACCCATCCTCCACACTGCCTGCCAGGTGGACGTAGCTGCTCTCCTGCTCAGGGATTCCCACTTGTCCCTCAGTGTCCTGAAGTCTCCCCAAAGGAGGGGAAGGATGTTGCACAATGACCCCAGAGCAATTCTGAACACTGCTGACCGGCTCCCGCCTGACACATGAAGCCATACTCTCTGGGCACCAGGATTGTGTGTGTTTAGTAAATTCCTCCAAGTGATATAGATCATCTGCTCTCCTGAGTCCCCACCATTCCCAGGACCAATGACCTATAAATTTAGCTACACACGAGATCTACGTAGGACCTGCAGCACTTGGCCTGACCTCTATTCACGGTCCACATTTCACCATCTCCCATTATATCTTTTATTCATTTTGATCCTTTAGTCCTGAAGAAGAGAAAATACCGAGTTACACTGTCTAGGGAGGTGGGTAAGCATAGAAGTAAGTGGGAGACCATAAGACAAGCAGATAGGCATTTTGGAACAGATTTGGGAAGATTGAAAGGTGTCAAGGAAGGTAGCAAGATTCATTCTGCATCCTTTAACCAGCACAGGCTCTGGAAGATAAGGCCCATGAATCGACCTATGAATCAGGAGGTCACAGTTCGATTTCTGGCCAGAGCACATGCCTGGGTTGCAAGCTCAGTCCCCTGTAGGGGGAGTGCAGGAGGCAGCCAAAAAATTATTCTCTCTCGTCATTGATGTTTCCATCTTTCACTCCACCTCCCTTCCTATTTGAAATTAATCAAAACATATTTTGAAACATATATGAGATGATGATGAAGGAATAAATGAATGAATGATGAATGTAAGCAATACCCACTGCCCAAGGGCAAGAAGGACAGAGAACAGGGCAGTGCTCCTTTTAGCGGAACCAGAGTCAGAAAGCAGTGAAATGAGGGAGGCCCCGGGAAATTAAGGTTGCTTTTAAGGCAATAGATTCCAAATGAGAAAGGACTCCACTACCTAGAAAAGACACTTTATTTCCAAGTTTCCAAGAGGGTTCTACAAACAATAGAGGCTTAAGGTAAAAAAAGAGAAGAGAATAAGAAAAACAAGTATTTTAAGTATTGAAAGGAAGACAGCCTTTAAAAAAAAATAAAGCCTTAAACATAAAAATGTGGAAACAGACTTGTCAAATGGAATCCAAATACACCTGTAGAAAGAAGACCATCCACGGTGTCAGGGTTACTGAGAGCTGCCTCCTTGTCTAAGTGCCATTCATACTCCTTGTACGTGATGTCTTCATTTCAAATTCAATTGGAGAGCTGTGCAAATCTAGCAAAATATTCTTTGGATTACAAAAACACGATATAAAAAAATGAACAAAACCGGCAATTATGGACATATCGAGAATGTGCAATCCTTCGCCGAAATGAAAGATTCCAAAGTGACATTGTCCACAGGATTTATTCCACTGAAGTGCTCAGATGACTTGATTGAAATGCAAAGGGAGATGGAAAGTGTGCACTTTCGTGGAAACATTTCTCTTTGTATGGATTTCGACTCAGTCATAAAAATAGTTCATAGCAAGATACCAAGAAATGCCTTAAAGAAATGTTCACAATAAAATAAAAAGAAGCAAAAAAAGATTAGTCTAAAAATGTCTGCAATCCAAGAGCAAGCACATGTCCCATTGCAGGGGGGAAGAGGACTTGAAGCATTACTTCCTTTGTTCTGCCTTTCCCCCTCCCCTCCGAGTATTGCTGTGCTTCTGACCTTTGACCCGCCTGAGCTGGTGTGATGTCCTTCACAGATGTCTCTGTCCCCTGGCAGCTGGATGGGACTGCGGGAGACGGTAGGCAAACTCACGCATCAAATGGCATTGACCCTCAGAACCCACCAAGGTCCCTGCCCTCATTCCGAGCTCATGGCCCAAAGCCATTTTAAAACAAAGGTTTGGAAATGAATGGCTTTCTTTGACAAAACTTAAAACACCATCTTATTTTAAGAGAAGCTAAAATTAAGAGGAGAAGTGAGCAGTTTTGACCATCAGAGACATGATGACACCCTGGCAAGATCAAAAGAAGGGAACAGAAGAACATTGGGGATTTGATAGCTACTTGTGGCAAATTTATATTTTTGACCCTTCTCACCCCCGCTCCAAAATGCTAGGTTGGGGCATAAAATCTATATCTTGGCCCGGTCAGCGTGGCTCAGTGGTTGAGTGTCAGCCTAAGAGCCAAGAGGTCAAGGTTCCATTCCCCGTCAGGCACATGCCTGGGTTGTGGGCACAATCCCCAGTAGAGAGCAGGCAGGAGGCAACTGATCAATGATTCACTCTCATTGATATTTCCATCTTTCCCTCTCTGAAATCAACAAAAAAATATTTTTTTTAAAATCTACATCTTTAACTTAAGAGTTCTGATCATCTCATTTCCTCGCACAGATTCATCTCTTGGAACTATAGAATTACTGATAGACAAGATAAATGCATATGATTTAACAAGTATTGCAAAGTCATAAGCTGACCCAGATATTTAGCATCCTCCTTTTCCAGAAGGTGTGTGTGAAGAAGCCAGGAAGCTAACACTGAGATTGAACAAACAAAGCTATGCACAATGTTACAGAATCTTACCCGGAAACACATTCGCAAAACACATTTGATTTTAAATAAACAGTAAAAGCAGTGGACCCGAACAGATCATAAATAGGGATATTCAAAGATCACAGTATCTTGAATTAGAACTATAAAGGGCTCATTAGAAATACTTAATTTTTCCAATGTTAAGAATCAAAACCCAGAATTAAAAAAGAATCTTTTTTTTTTTTATTTCAAAGGTTGCTTCTTATATTGAAGCTCATATTAAAGCAACAGTACAATGTTCATAAAATATAAGTGTGATGCCGTAACATTTCTTACATGTCAGAATACTGATATTTGTATGTATACTAAAAATAAGAACTTTAAAATTGTACAAATAGATACATTAAAAATGACATAGAAATAGGGCGCCTCTCACTGAAACAAGACAGTTATATCTGGCACGTATTAGTTTAAGATGAAAGTAGAAGCAAAAAAGATTTACAAGAATCAGCAGTAACAAGATTGATGCTCAAGAGACATAATTGTACATTGTATTGTACATACATTGTATGGGTTTAAGCTGGCTGAATAGTATATATTTCAAGTTTAAAAATGCACTACGTATAGAGTGTCCATAGTTTAAGGCGAAATTACAGCTCAGAACTGTTGTCCTTTCTAATTTTGTGGAAGCTTCTTTGACAAATAAAAATAAAAAAAAAAAGGAAGAAAAAGAAGAAAGGAGGACTTAGATGTCCATAACACATACACGATTCTCCTTCATTGTCAAGTTCACCGTTAGGTTTCTCCTTCCCTTAAATATTCCGGATGCCACGTGGTTTCCCTCCAGCGAAGCTGGTACACACTTAAACCTTTGCCTTTTTTGTGTGTGAGAAAAGGTACTTCACAGTATTTACCACTTTGATGTCCTTTCGGCTTTACGAAACGTATCCTCTCTGGAAAATGTTGCTAAAGTTTTAAATGAGACCTTTCCTTGATTTAAAAAAATACCTGTTTCCATATCTCCTAGGTTCTCCAGAACGCCAGACACAGTTTTGTTTTGTTTTTTAAGGCCAAATTTGTATCATTATTGTTAAGAGTCATCATCAAAAGTGTCTTTGGAACCGTACAAGTCCGCTAGTTTCTTAAAACGAGGTCCCCAGTTCTGTAGGTAGTCGTAGTCCAAGTCTGAATCGGTGGTGGCCGACTCCAGGGAGCTCAGGGACCCGGCCACCGAGCCCCGGCCTTCGTAGCCATAGATTTGGATGGAGTCATAGGGTGGGGCCGTGGGGTCATTGTCTGCCTCCTGTATCCTCGTGTTGATGAAGTCATCAACATCTACGCTGTTGGGCGCTGGCCGGAGCCCGGGCCTAGGCATGTACTGGTACTCGGGCTTGATGTCTTTGCGCGGGATAAACCCGTTGATGCCGTCGGGGTTCTGGAGGGTGGCGATGTCAAAGGCCTCCGTGTCTTCCTCCCCGCCCCCTTCGTCGTCATAGGTGATGATGTTCTCCCGGACATCTTCCTCTTCGAAGACGATGAGAGGCTCTTTCTTCTGCCTCCTCAGGGTCACAAACAACACCACGATGACTACAAGAGAGGAGAAGGCAAGTGAGAACAGGTGCAGCCTGGTATTCCCTGTCTGGGGGATGCTGCTTCCCTTAAAGCACAGAACCGGGAACCCTTCTATGAAAAGAGACATTTACCTAGAACCTCCACAGACGTGCTACGTGCCCTCCACCCGCTCTCCCTCTGCAGAACGCTGCCAGGACAACATGATATCCAAACAACCCGGCATGCTGGAGCTATGTTGAGTTTTTTACAAATGAGTCAGTCACTGCTTGGAAGTCATCTTCCTAAGAATTGGGAGTGTTCTATAATATGTGATCCGCAGCCTCTTAAACATAGCTGAGGCCAGTTCCTTCTGGCAGAGGGAGACAGCTGCCTCTCTAGGTTACGGATGTGACTGCTCACAGGGCTCAGGCCTCCCTTTGTATGGAAGGCGATGCCCTGCTCCTTGTTCCCGCCCAGAGCTCTGGGGTTGGGGTCAGCCTGGACCTACTCTCTCTTCATGAGGAATGGTGCTATAACTTCAAACCACCATACAGAGGAGGGAACGTTTATAAAATCCCTGAGAGACAAGTGTTCTCTTGTTTGATTGAAGGGAGGGAAAGAGCATTGTCTTGAACTCCAGGCGAAGGAGGGGATTCCACTGAGCCCAGGCAACATGGGCGAGTGGGCAGAGCTACATCCGGGGGAAGTTCAGGCAAGGTTCACTCTTTATCTGTGGCCTCCCCCTGAGGGCTTCTCCACTGTTCCGTTAGGACACTCCCCCACACTCAGCAACACTGGAGAAGATGTTCGTGGCTGAATGTGGCAGGTGGTCTGAGAGCCACCTCTCCCCACCCTCTCCCCACCCTTGGGTCCCCCATCACAGTGAGATGCAGGGATGAGTGCTGGCACCTGCCCAGACCGTACCTAGCCCCAGCAGCTCATCAAGCAGTGTCCTTCCTCTCTGACTTGTTCTTGACAACACTTTGCCCAGACCACTTCCTCTCACTCGCTTTGCTTGGCTGACTCTGTCTGATCCTTCATCCTGGAAACCTTCCTGGCACCAGATTGAGCTCTTTAGCACCTGCTTCTTGCACAGTCCTGCCTCCGTACCCACCACCATCATAATCCTTATCAGGTGGTACCCAGCCTGTGAATGTCTTAGCGCTCTTTTGTGTCCTGCTTGCAATAGCCATCCATCCCAGCCTCTTTCACCCACTGGGCAACTCTTTCAGGACCTGACCAGGAAGATGCCCCTGACTTTTTGACCTTCCCAGTCAAGGTCAGGCACTTTCTATTCTTGTGCCCCCACCATCTTTGGTTCACTGCCCTGTGTGACTCTGTGGTTTATCTGTTCAGGCGCATTTTCCTCCATAGACAATGACCTTAATCATCACTGAGATCACTGAGATCTTGTCTAGGTTTTCTCTTCAACCCCTCCATAGGGCCTGGCACCCAGACAATCGTCAGGAACTCTCTGTGGAACTGAGCTCACTGGCTCTCCCCTATATAACTGAACCCCATTCATTCATTCAGCAGCAAACTACACATCGTGAAAAAAGCATAGACTTGGTGTCAGACACACTTGCAGTTGAGTCTTGACTTTGTCTCTTACAAGTTCTGAGAAGCTGGGGGAACTGATCTATTTATTCTCCCTGAGGCCCAGCCTTGGTGGATGTTATGGGCCTCAGCACATGCCTGTTATCACAGAGAAAACCACAGATGGGGGGAAAGAGCAGAAAAGGGGTCCCCAGCCCGGTTTGCCAGTGCAAAAAGAGTTCTCAGGGTCCCCTTAAGCCTAGGCATAACCCCAGATATGGCATATGCTAATCAGATGGGGAATCAAGATCCAGTTTCCAGCAGGGGACCTTCAACCTTCCTCCAGTTCCTCAAGAGTCCTTCACACACTGCCATTTGCCTCATGATTATTCTTTCTGCCTCTAATCCTTCTCTTTCCTTTTGTGTGGCAAAGCGTTGCTCATATACAAGGTCTCTGCCCAGATTCCTGTCCTGCAAAACCTTCTCTGGTGACCCCATGGCACCCCCAGATGACTTCTATTCACTCCAGGGATGTCCAGCAAGTTGCTTATCAACCTTCCACTAACTCTGCTCTAACTGCTGGTAAATTTGCCTCCCCCCGCTCCCCCCCAACCCCCTCCCCACACATACACACCATTCCATAAAATGCAGGAGCAGGAACTGCCTGGGTCTCAGATTTCACCCACAGCAGAGAGCCTAGTTCTAGCAGCCAGCCTGGCCTCTGAAACATCTGTGTTTCCAGGACTGGCATCTAGGAAGGCCCTCCCTACAGGTGCCAGAGGGGCCCTTACCCAAGAGAATGACTATGCAGGCCAGGATGGCGATGAGCGCGCCCGTGCTCAGGCCGGCGTTCAGGATGTAGGCCTCGGCATTGCAGGAGAGCAGCGCCCCATTCACGTCGCACCCGCACACCCTGATGGTGAGGGTGTTGGTGCTGCTCATCGGTGGGATGCCACCGTCGCTGATCACGATGGGAAGGAGGTACAAATCCTGCTTCTGCCGACTGAAGCCCCCGCGCCGGGCATACACCCCCGCGGTGTTATCTGTGGGAAGAGGGGGGATAGGGTGAGCTCTCAGAACCAGACCATTTGCATCACAGCCTGTAGGATTGGAGGGTCCTCTCATGTCCAAGGTTAACAGTCTTCCCCTCCTGCTTTGTAGTCTAGGTCCATGGTCGGCAAACTGCGGCTCGCGAGCCACATGCGGCTCTTTAACCCCTCGAGTATGGGCTCTTCCACAAAATACCACGGCCTGGGCGAGTCTATTTGAAGAAGTGGTTTTAGAAGAAATTTAAGTTTAAAAAATGTGGCTCTCAAAAGAAATTTCAATATTTGTACTGTTGATATTTGGCTCTGATGACTAATGAGTTTGTAGACAACTGGGCTAGGTATCTGGAGACGCTGCAGTCATTTGCTGTGACAGGAGCACAGCATAACCTCTGCAGTTTTGGAACAAATGTCAGCACTCAGCTCTTTCACTGGCAAGATAACCACACCCCATTGTAGTTAGCTGTTGTCCTTTTCCTCAAATACAAGGAAGTGTGGGCTTCCACCACACAGTCTATGTTAGTGCAGGATGTAAATAAATACTTAAGTAAGTATGAAAAACAAGACAAAAACACCCTCCTTTTCCTTCTTTACACTATCCCTACTTCATGACAAGCCTTTGGCCAGTTTTTGTGTGTTTGTTTGTTTGTTTGTTTGTTTCTCAGAGATTCCCTGTCCATGCTCCAACCTTGCCCAAACAATGAACTCAATCATGAGTCCTAAAGGAAAGTATCTTCAGTGAGAGGAAATACTTTATAAAAGCCAGCAGCAGGGTTCTAGTTTCCTTGAATGTCAAGCACCATCAGGCACCCGATTGAACATGCCACCCCTCCTGCTTAATGATTCCAGGTTTTCCCTGTTGCCCACACAGCACAGCCCACATGTACACAGTCAGCCATCAGAAAGTGCCTGAATCTGAACCTGATTCTGCCTTCCAGCTTCACATCTAGCCTCTCCCCCCACATCCCAATCAGCCTGGCATGCTGAAGTCACTGCCCCCAACACAGCCCTCTTCCATGGCCTCCTGCTCTCTTTTCTGCTCTAATGCCCCCCCCCCCCCCCACACACACACACACACACAACCCTCCAGCCATTCCTTTGACCCAGGCAGGTGAACTCCTCAAGCCTCCGAATTGAATCCCACAGTCATCTCTTTGGGGAGTCCTTTCTCGAACTTTCCCCTCACCTCCTTTGGGACCCATAACTCTGTGTATTCCTGCAAAAATTGGTATCCCGCTGTTCTGCCATTATTTGGCATCTCATAGACTTCTGGGAGAAGAGGGGATTTTATCTGATTCATCGCAGCCTCTCCAGCGCTGGACACATAGCAGACATTCTATCAATCTTTGTTGAACAAATGATGTAACCATTCTGGAAAAGGATTGACCCAAATTCCAGATGTGAGCTTTTACGTGTTTCTCAATCTTTTGTAACCTATGCCCCCAAATGCTTCCTCATTATTTTTTTCTGCATCTCTCTACACCCCAAAAATATGTTTCTGAGGTTGTATGCTGGTGTGGGGGGTAAAGAGCGGGGGACACTGGTATGATAAGACAGTTGAAGTTTAGAATATGCTCCATCAAATTACACACACACACACACACACACACACACACACACACACCACACACCACCCACATATCCCACACACATGCATACACCCCACACACACACACCCCACACACACCACACACACACACACACACACACACACACACACACACAGCTCCTTGGTGTGGCCTCCCTCTATTTGTGAATTAACAATCAGAAATTTAGAGCAACATGAATATGATCACCGACACAATGGCCCAATAGCTAGCAGGCTCTCAATGGATTGACAGTGCTATGAATTAGCTCTTGTCATAGGAAAAAATATCTTAGAATCTCAACATCGTTTTGATATATTTTAGGTGAAAGGAAATGTAACATGTTCTCAGTGAGAGAAAATACACATTTAAGGATGAGCAGATACTCGAGGTAGCGCAGAAGGTAAGATACGTGCTCAGCTCTTGGCAAGCCTTGTCATGACAGGTCTCTGCCCTTCGCTGCCAACGTCTCAATCAAGGCAGGGCCCAAGAGCTAGCCCTTATCTCTACAGTTTCTGGATTTTGTGTGATTGACATCCATGGCTCTTATCTCTGGAGAAAAAAAAAATATATATATATACTGCGGAAAATCATGAAAAAGTTAACATAAACAGGTCAAATAAAATGTTAACAGTAAACCCAATTTCCTGACTATTTTGACCCATTTACTCTAGGGTACGCCACTGTGCTATGCTTAACAATTAGAAAAGCATTTATAATATATCTATAATAGATTATTTCAAAATATGTTATTCTTTTTTCCTTTTCATAAATTCTTTGGAGTTCAGTAAGACTTTCGCAAATTAAGTTACAATATCTACCCCCATATGAATGATCTGAAATGTCACTAACAACATTATGAATAAAAAGGAAAATTAAATATTTAAGAAGGAAAGCACCATAGCAAAATGGCCTGGTTAAAGGTACCTCTCTGATATGGTGACAGTGTACTTATTTTATGGGGTCCCACCCTGTTAGCCATAATGCTGGTTTGGAGGCAATATGAGCTGAGTGGTTTTGGCCCTTTAAACCTGTGGAGGCTATGCTTTAAAATATGTTCCTCCGTGTGTCATCCATGCAAGACTGTCCCTCTGGGTCCCAGCAGGCTGGCTTCCACATGAAAGTAAATGAAAATCAAACACTAATGGGAACCATGGATCTGAGCAGGACACCAGCGTGTGAATTCAAGACTCTTCTTACTGTGAGCAGCTGAGCCCTCTCAGACTCACTAAAAATAATGGCACAGAAGCTCATCAAAGTACCCAGCAGACTGGGGTATTTAAACCTCTAAGGGACAGATCAGGAGAATCTCAAGAATTCTTGTTTAATCTCTTCCAGTCAGACGTGTTGGACATGTGAATGTGAAGATTAGCTCTAGAGGTGGAAAATAAATGGGCATGTGCTAATGATACACGTCAGAAGGAGTCCTTTGTCCCATCGAAATTATTTCAATGAGCCAGCCATTCTCAACCTGTATTTAAGAAGGTCCCCTCACTTGGGACATACGTGTTTCCAAGCTTTCTGGGTGATCCAAGGGAAAACAAGAGGTTCCATGATGACACATTTTCAGGCCATGTCAAATTTTCTCCATATTTAATAAAATGAGGCCAAAAAAGTCATATGTATTTAGTTTTAAATTTCCACCAAGAGATTTCTTAGGGTCTTCTCCTTTATAAAGTTTCCAAAGAGCAAATTTCTTAGTATTTAGGGTCAAACAGACCTGAGTTTGAATCTTAAGTCACCTATAAATCAATTTTTCTTTACTTTAGACACACTAAGTAAATGCCTTGAATTTCTATAATCTAAGAAAGTAATAAATTTAGGGATAACTTTGATTACATTCACAAAAGTGCTTAGCACAGTGCCCGACTGTTGGAGATGTGCAGTAAATATTAATCCTTTTCTCGAATCTGTTTTTTTTTGCAGTAGACTGATGAGGAAGAGAGGTTTATTACAAAGAAGGGAAAGTGAATTCCTGGAAATGTCAGCTTGGAAAGCAACTCACCGCCTACATAGAAGGCTCATCATCAGGTAAGGAAACCATCCGCGCTCTTCATTCCTGGGCAGTGTATTCCCAAGGTAAGAGAATGCTTCTCAAGCACCTCGCTTTCTCATCTTGACATCCAATGTCCTCACCCTTGGCTACAAGCACATAACCAGTTCCATTTTTCCCCCCAGTTAGGCAAAATTTGCAAACAGGCCATTAATTACTAGTAGATGTCATGCACAAGTGTTCCATTAATGGGAAATAAGTTCAAGATTCAAAATGTTATGTCTACAACCTGGATTGCAAAAATCAAATGCTGGTTTTGCTTGTGCTCTGTCATTACACTAACACAAGGTAAAGGTTCCCGATAATAACGGGGATGCAAATGTAATGGTTATGAAGGTTGTTTTCTGAGATGAATGTCTTATGATTACTGGTTCATTGGATATGATTTTTTGTTAAAATATCTGTTTCACAGGATGTGACTCTTAATAGTTATTGGCAAGATGGTTTCCATAATCCACAAACTTTTAAGGCAATGTCTTAAACTTTTGTTGATGTCACTGGTTATTAAAACTCATCATTTCTTCAGCAAATTTAAAAAAAACAAATAAGAAAAATTATGATGGGGAAATAGTCCATGATTGGTTACCACTCTTGTATTACACACACACACACACACACACACACACACACACACACACACACACACAAGCAAGTTCCACCACCAACAAACAACAACAAAACAAAAAACTAGGGAGCAGAGCAAAATGGGCAATGTGTGGGCCAGCCTCTGCGTATTAACAACTTGAAAAGAGGAAGGGCTGCTACAAAGGATGAGTGCATTCTGCTCTTGCCCTGGTGTCAAAAAGTGGCTTGATCCAGGGCCCGAAAGCTTCCCTAAAGCTCATTAGATGCTTTCTCACTATCTTACCACCTATCCTCTGTCCTTTTTAGCCAGACGGATGCTTCCCCATGGCCTAACCTGATCAGAGACACTATAACCTTTGAGAAAGACCCTAGGGACAGCAGTCTCAGGGCCCTTGTTTGGAGACCCTTAAGGGCCTAAAGAATCTAGGCCAAGTCTTGCTCTTTGTTCACTTTGGATGCAAATCTACATCCTCTACCCTTTCAGCTCAAACCTCAAGAGACACAGTAGATCCATGTACCACACAAAAGCTCCCACACCTTGAAGACAGGGAGGGGTGCAGTCACCAGCAGAATAATGATTATTTGATCTCTCTCCTCTGGGCCTTCTCTACTTTCCCTATGAACATGGCAATAGCACTATTGACATGATGGGAAATACATGCATAAGCACACATGTGAAATACAAACATAATGAGTGTGTGTCCAAATCTTAGTGGAGTTTTAAGCATAAATAATGTTGAAAGTATGCATGCTAAGCAATGGCATAAGACGTG